TATATATATATATATTATACCTACACTGACACAAATAGACGGACGCTTACTTAAACAAAAACAATAGACGGACAGACTGACATGCCAATTCATACACAGCTTTACACAGACTGACAATGTTGTTACCTATCCAGACACAGACAGACAATCAGATAGAAGCAAAAGTACATGTAGGTGTTTGGACGCCCCGATCGACACAACTTAGAACTTTTAGGAGGTAGGCTTCCAGTCCTGCCAACCTGGGCTGAGAGGGATACAGCATCCCAGTAGAAAGACCAAGATATTCGATAAATATTTCTCCCCACTCAGGAAGCGAACTCGAATCTCCTGCGTGTGACAGTGAAGCGCAATACCGCTAGACCACAGATGCTGATAGATTGTCTGATATACCTAAACAGTAAACAGACAAACAAACTGATTCATAAACAACTTTACACAGACAGACAATCGGGCAGATAGGTAGACTAACAAATGAATTCACAAACAGCTCTATGCATACAGACTTACTCTTAACATTCATGGTAAAGTGTCGTAGATGAGTTTTTTGTTACCTTGTTTCGGATTGTGAGGTCCGCGCAGCATTGCAGCAGGGCCTCAGTCGTATCGTAATTGTCTGCCTTTACTGCAAGGTGGAGCGCTGTGTCACCGTTCTGATAAGGTGAGACGGACATAAAAGAAGATTTTTACAACTCAATTTTTTTTTAATGTGCGGCAGCGTGGTGGAATCAGGCTCTCGTCAACTTTTGGGCATGTAGAGTTATTGGTATCATCTTAAAGCTTGTTCATCTGTCTTTATTTGGATGAAAAAAGTATCCATTTATCTTGAATACAAGTCGAGATATTTGTAATTGAAGGAGGTGGGGGTCATCTGTTTTCAGAGGTAAAATTTGTGAGAAAATGGCCGCCTAAGATTAGTCATTTCCTTAGCTTAAAAGCCTGTGGTAACTGAAAATTCACATTTTTGTGCCTTTAATCAACGTTTTTCAGAAAATCCGTACAGAAATGAGTTCTTTAATGGGCATGAAAGGTGTTGAGCCAAAAAACAAAAAATTGATAAACATTCACAAACTTGCGGAAAAATGCAAGTTTCTTCACTTTGATTATTTTGACGAGAGCCTGATTCCGCCACGCTGCCTCACAAATGCATTCTCTACGCCCATATCAACACAAGTCATTGTATTATGCAGACTCTAAGACATCTGCGACACCAATAACAGCTGCAATAATTAAATTATAAGACAATAACACACGGATAGGAAGGAAAAGAGCGACGAGACACACAAAAACATTAACGAGCAATGATAGCAACGACAAGAACCACACCCGCACCTCCCTAACCCCTCCCACCCACAACCACCTCAACAACAAAGACACAAAAAAGTAAATATTTCTCTCCCTACCACCACCCGCAATCTACGTTTATACCCCCC